ATAACACAAAAACAACTTCGACAATTGGTTAGATAATTTATATATATTTTTTTTTCTTTTAATAAAAATAAAATCATTTTATTTTTAGGTTTTATTTTGTCGCCGTGCAGTTAATGAAATAAATGATAATGAATTAAAACCACAATTAGATACATATTTACGAGCATTAGTACCATTAGAAGAATGTCTTAAATCACCTCCTACTCCATCTTTACCATCAACTCCACCTATTAATGAACAACAAACAGAACATACTCATCGACATCATCATCATCATCATCATAAAAAAGCAAATGGAGCACGAGGTAAAAAAAAAAAAACACAAAGAATTTCATTTTGTTCGAACAATAAAAAATAAAATTTATTTTTCTTTATAGATACATCAAGTCAAAAATCTGAACGTATTGAAAATATACAATTTCCTGAAGAAGTTATTGTTTTTACATTAGAATCTAGTGATAGTGAATGTCCCGGAATGTTATCTGAAGACAAAGTAAATTATTTTAATGTTAATAAAAAATTTTCAAAATAATTATTTTATTGATTTTTTTAGGTTTTACAAGAAAATGAAAGAACAAAATTAATAAAAACATCAAGTACAAATGAATTTGATCAATCGGCTACTGAAAAACGATTACGTTTTCGTTTAAATGATAATTATAGTGTTGGTAATATAAGTGATAATTTGGAAGGTCTTGAAGGTATAAGTGAAGGTGCTGCATCAACAGGCAATTTAAGTGTTACATCATCATGTGACGATCTTGATAAAGCAACAAATGAAATTGAAACTGATCAATTATTTGATAATGCATCAGTTAGTGGAAGAGGTAATAATTAATTTTAATCATATTATTTTGATAAGAAAAATTTCTTTTAATTAAAATTATTTCTCTTCATAATTAAAAAACAAAATCAATCTCTCTCGTTTCTTATTTATTTTTAGCAACACCAAATTTATCTGGTCGTGATACACCTTCGTCACATATTAGTCTTGATAGTAGTGATCGACGAACAACAAGTACAAATAATGCTCATGTTCATACACAAGATAGTGTTATAAATAGTCAAACAGCAACAACTATAAATACAAATCATAATTCTCTTATGGGATCAGTACAACGTGGACCAGTTTTACCTGTTGTTGTACAAAAACCATTCCGTGAAGATGTACCAGATAAATTTAATTTATTTGATTTACCACAACAACGACCAACTTTAGAAGCAGGTATTTACATAAATAAAAACAAAGACAAAAACTATTAGCACAAGCTCTGAAGAATTAAAATGTAAAACACGATGTAACTGTTCTTGCTAATCATAGAGAGAGAGAGATTGTTTTATTCTATCTATTTTCAAACACATTTCTTCACTATCCTTTTACTTAAAATTCTCCAGGATTGGCGATGGCGGCTACAAAAGTCTTATGCAAGAAGGGTTCCCAGATGATAAACTGCTTTTAAGCTAGAACTATATTCAATGGATAAGGTCTAGAGAGCAAGAAGATACCCTCGAATGATTCGAACAGCTGGGTCTTTGTTGCTGAGATATCGAATTTTTAGTGGACGTTTCCTGTAGAGCTTCAGTTTTCAAACGAAATCATACTTTTGAGTTTTGATCTGAAACTTTGCCCATATAAAGGTACCAATTAGGCTAACTTGTAGAATTTGTGTCTTTATGTGAAAAAAGTTTCAAATCAAAATTCATAACTATAATTTCGTTTGAAAACTGGGGTCCTACAGGAAACATCGACTAAAAATTTGATATCTCAGCAGTAAAGTTCCAGCTGCTCGAATTACTCTAGAATATTTATCTACTCGCTAAGCCCTATCGATTGAATATAGTCTCAGCTTAAAAATGATTTATCATTCGACGGCCTTCTCTCGTCAGGCTTCGGAGAGAATCCAAATTGTTACTCTGATACTTTAATACTTCTTTTTGATCGTATTTCATCAAAAGAATGATTTTC